ATATATCTTCTATAAACTAAAATCGACATAAACAGTGAACAGGCGCGTTCCCCTTTATGTTGTTTGTGTTTACATATAATTCGCCGACAGGCAATTCAGTTTAATTGCTCTTTAAAAGGGTTTTACAATGGGAATCCGCAAAAGGCCGGCTTACAGATTCAATAATTATTTCTATCGTTTTCTATAAATCGTATCAAAGCAGCGCATTATACCCGGAAAGCGGTTCCATTTGTTGGAATAACAAAATAGAACAATATTGTTTCATTAGGGGAATGAGGTGATTGCTATTTATTGGAAAAGTATGAATGAATAATAAGACACGCGAATAATAACTAACGTTGCAATAAATAACTAAATTTAAAACAATAAAGTAAAAACATTTTAAACTAAATAAAAACATCCTACCATATGCCTATGCGAAGAGGTTATCATTCGTTAAATTCTTTACTACACCGCTATTATATTTACAAAACTGTAGGTATGGAAATGACTGAAGAAAACGCGTCTATTGTTAAGAACGAAAACGTTTCATGCATACGTACGTAAAGTCAGTAACCCGAGAAAATTCTACATGAGGAAACTTTCTAAAGAGCAATAAAACTGCAGCGTACCACAATATTGCTGTATTGTTTTAAAACTAAAACTAGCAAGCAACTGTTACCGAAACGAAGAACTTTCAAAATAAACATTCAGGCAAATCTTCGCGTTTCTGTATTTCGGGAACAATGCGAGATGTGAACTCGCCATGCATTTTGTTGCATGCATAGTCTTACTGTTTTGTTGACGAATTTTGAATCTCACAAAAATTACTCGTCAATTTTTTTTATAATATAGGGTTCAGATATCTTATAAGCCCAAAGTAAAGTCTGAAATGTCGTAGTGGCTCAAGTTTACGGCGCTCGTTTCTTATGCATACATACGGGTGGGTTGTTAGAAAGCTTACAAGTACCTATGTAGCTTTCGCCGAGTTATGTTTATCTTCTAAGTCAGTATTGTTAGGGCAAACATCGTGAAAAACCTGGACTTACTAGATTTATAATCGCCAAACCACTTAAGCAAGCCTGGTAATTAATGCTCAAATATTTTCCTTGTAAAAAGAGGCCTCGGCTCAACAGTATTGTCATTCTGGGACACATTAACGACTTCAGCACGAATGGGTCGGCTCGACCGGAGTGATACAACTGCCTTGTAGAAAACCAACGTGAAAAAATCACAGCGTTGTATTTCGCCGTGTGAATGAGATTACCAGAAGCCCATATCAGACAAGACTATGAATGTGCTAAAAAAATCATTTGAAAATTTGCCAACTAAGCAGCCGCTCATTACAGTGTAAACTGAACTGAGCGACCTCATTCCACACGATGTTTGCTCGCATCTTCCTCGAATACACAGTGCCAAGTTTTTATTTTAAACTAGCTTTCTATTCATGGCATTGTCTTAAAGGATATTTCTAAGTTTTTCATTTTAGTAGGATCCAAATGTCGGATGTTATCATCAGCATTATCGGCCAAAAGACGTCCTATGCTAAACAAAGTCCGTTATTGAGGAGAAGTTTGCACACGCTTGGAAGGCGACTTGGGGATAGCAGTTCGGTCGCTGATACATTTATATCGGTATTTTTTTGAGTGGAAAAAATTTTCAAATGATTTTTTTCGACACCCAAGAGGTTGCGCCAGACTCTTACTGACTAGAGCCCTTGGTCCTTCCTCCGTGCTAAAGAAAATCCCGTTCCTTTTCCTGCCACGGCCGAAGCCACGGTCATCTTTAATTGCTATTGCCATTCCTCCATTACTTGTGTGGCAGGTTTAGACGTACTTAAACCCAATCAGCCAGAATCATAGATCGAGATAGATAATCAAGATCAATCGTCAGAATGTATGTAGCATTTAACAGATGATTTTTTTAAAGAGATTCAGTAGGTTTTGAGTGTTGAGTGATATTGAAGCTAGATTTCGTAATCAACCAAAGTTTCTTACCGGAGTTTCTTGTTTGTTTTTCTGCATACGAATATATGATTTTGAAAGAAGTTGAGATTGCAGTAAAGCTTACTGCAATGGGCTGACGAGAGACAATACTACCTACATATATTACTTACCAAAAACGTAAAATCAGAGACTGAATTCAAATGTATTTAACTACTTTAATTTTTTATGCAATATTCATAATAATATGTTTTATTTAATATTTACACAATTTTACCATTAAATATTGTCTTTAGTCAACGCCATTAACGTCGAAAAGATTTTAATTTTGTGTTTTATAACGTTTGTTTTATAAGTATAACAAAATGTAAAGCAAAATTACTTTACAAATACATTAGCACTCGATTATGCGAATTGCATTCCACTTGCGTACCTATATCAAACATTTCACACAAGACTAACACATTAGTCATTTTTTACGAATGTATGCATACACTCTGAGTATGTATTGAAATCTGAAACCTTCCATTACGCTTTCAAACGAAGAATTGATACTTCAAATACTTCAGAGCTTTCCAGTTCTTATCAATGGATTTCGAAAACTAAATCCTTGTGGAAATAGTAGATAATTTAGTTTGGGATAATGGTTATTTTCATTACGAAATTCCATAATGGTTATTACACTAATGGTAAAATTATAATAAAAGTGTACCTATCTAGGTAAATTACCGATGACTGCTTAGTTTTCAATAGCAAATCATTTAAGTGTGGGAGAGCCATGCTGCGACATGAATGAGCCGGCTTGACTAATGTGACACCACGGCCTCGCAGAAAACCGGCGTGAACCAACACTTACGTTGTGTTTCGCCGTGTGAGTGAATTTACCGGAGGCCCAATCCTTCCCCCATCCTCAAATCCCTTATCCTTAAATCTCTAATACCTCACTGGTCGACAACGCACTTGCAATAACTCCTTTGGTATTGCGAGTGTCCATTGTTTTTTTTTTTATGGACAGGAGGCAAACGAGCAGACTGGTCACCACCAGATTGATTGATTGATTAATTACAACCGTTGGCCAATTTATGACATAAAAAAAATACCTAGAAATAGAACAAAGATTGATTGATTGAAAGATTGAGTTTATAATCAATTCCGTTTAACTTCGTCTATACTTATTATGAACTCTATATAAAAAAGTATTTGATTCATAAGGGAGGCAGTTAGTAAACTACGACTAGGTTCGTTTGAGTAAGGCCCATTATCGATTTACAAAGGTACAACAGTCGAAAAGTGCCCGTTTTTATTGAATTATCCTTTCTGAGGATCAAAATCCAAGTTCAGACAAGTAAAAATATTAAATTGATAAGATCAACGAAGGGCACTCAGAGAGCAAGAGATATTTCTAAAACTGATTCGGGGACGAAAGCTACTGAAAACAAAATGTCACATTCTTAAATGAAGTTCCTATACTTTTTACAAAAGATACTTCGTCAAAATATGATTAGGAATATCTGTCTGTGAGAGTGTGTGAATGTAGGTAGGTATGTTCGTTATTCTTTCACGCAGAAACGGATGGACCGAGGTGGTTGAAATTTGTACATTGGATTTAACACATAGGCTACTTTTACCCACAACGAGGGAGAAACCGTCACGTGGGCGGAATCTATGTACGTAATAGTTGCACACCGACCCTAGTCTAAGGACTTGACTAAACTAGGTTGACTCGAAAGTAACAGTAAGTTAAATTCACTTGTAATGTAAACTATTTGAATAAATCATATCTTTAGAACAGAAATAAAACTCGCCAATATCCAAAAATAAAATATTTATTCATCATTCAATCACATGGTCAGGTATATTGAATAACAATTAATATAAAGAGCTCGGATATACATCGATATACAAAAACTCACACGAAAACAATCACACATAATAACTCTAATATACTCTATAAATACACTTTATCATCATTATTGGAAAAAGAGGTTTTTTGATACATACATATACATACAAATCATATATAATATATTTATTATTTTTCGACGAAGAGATCTTTTCATGCATATTGATATTTAACTTACCAACGGCTAACCTTAACAACCTATCCGTCGATAGACGTATTAGCCAAAAGAAGATTTTTATGTAATCCACAAATTATTGTTCCGGGTCTGGGCGAGATGTGTATGTGAAATTGTATGTTTGTAACCGCACCCACGACACAGGAGAAAATCCTGGAGTGGGCCAACGTATTTGTTTAATGTTTTTTTTTTCGAAATAAGTACAGCCAATCGAGATATACTAACGGATAAACGGTCTTACATGAAACCTTCTTTATTTAAAGCAGGTATATACGAGTAATGTCTGAAATTTCGTTGTCTAGTCTAAGTCTGTCTATAATTAGGTTGTTGAGATTAGTCCTGATAAATATGTTCTCCTCAAACGCCTTTTACTTTTACATACCTACAATTTTGCCTAAACAAATACTTAAACAAACGCTTCGACAAACCAACTATTTTTACCATGATTAATCATTTTTATTACAACCAACATTCCTTCATAAGCAACAGAAATAATTTACTTAAATTGTTCTTGAGGAATTAGATAGTTTTTAATGTTTTGTAAATTTAAGATTGATTCTGGCCTTGTTGCAAAATCCACTAAAAATATAAATAACTTAAATCGTAATAATTCCTAGACATAGTTTCTAATTTTATAGAAAATATTAATTATTGTTATTTTTACAAGCATCTATCTAGGCTCTCTCAAGTTATCTAATATCTACAAACTCCTTAATTTGCTTTCCAAGTGACATTTAATGTTTTGAAACTTTCAACCGAATTAGCTGGGGAAATGGTTTCCCGAAATTAGGTATTGTACGTTTAAGTTTAATTAGAAATTTCATTTATTTTCTAAAAGATTACTGGCGTAGTCTAGTCTCTAGTCTCCCAAATACTAAAGTGGAAAACTCTTTACAACTTAGTTTTGTTCAAATAAAACATTTTACGTAGTATTGTAGCTATCAAGAAGTTCTCTAGGAAGTTATTTCACTGTTCAATATACCTTTATAGAAAAAAAAATCTGCAATCTCAACAGACATTTTTCAAAAAGAGCAATTCCAAAATTATCAACGCAATTTTATAAGTACTAAAACAAAAGCGATCAGTCAAAAATGTCGGTTTGAAATTATGCGTAGCTCAAGTTTGCTCAGGTCGATTAACTCAATCATTTGTAGTTAAAGTTGTTATGTGACCAGTTAATTTAATTAGAGACGTTTATGTAACATTATTGGGCTTATAGTTAGTACAACTTCTGCGAAATTTACTTCTACAAATCCGTCGTCTAATCTCCGAACAAAGTTGTTTTCTAATTACAATCACAAGAGACCCCCAATTTACCATGAAAACCGTCGCGTCTGTTCAGAATAAAAATTAAACTCAAGTTAATTAAGTGAAAAATGTTGGTTTAGCCTAATGAACGCCGGGCGTTGACTGAACTACCCAATTAGCTTGAAGCGAATCTGTCGGCAAGTCAAGCCGTTTCTTGTAATTAAAAACGAGCGAGATTTGCCGCACCTAACGTCAGTTGGAATGTAATAGTTTCGTTTCTAAGGCCGTATATCATTTCTTCCCCAATAGGTCGTCTAACATCTCTTGATTGGTCATATTGACGTCACCAAGTAGATTCGTCTTGGAGTTTCGTCTGCCAGAGATCGACCGTTTCCGTCCCATGGGAACAACTTCAGTAAATACCTGATCCGTCAACATTTTGAAGTTGTTATTCAATTCGTTTAATGCTGAATCGGGAATTTCTGCGTTCGCGTTGACAATTTCATTGATTTTATCTACAGCTTCTAGTTGTTGTACAAGTTTATCACTCTCTAATCTGGATTGATTAAAACATTTCATATGTTTGTCAATGACTTTGCTACTCTTTTCTATGTCTTGAATGATATCTTTGCAGTATTTTTCTAAAGGTTTGCTGGATAGTTTTCGTTCTAATGAACTACCCTCACGTTTCATTTTCACTTCCATTTCTTCATGATGTACGGCTACAGTTGTGATGGAATCCTCAATAGCCGCCTGTTCAAAGAAAGACACATTAGAGTTCCTCCTGCCTCTCGACTTGGGTCGCTCCGTTTCTTCTAACTCCACTTGTTCGTCTATAGATTCTTCTGTCGATTTCCTTCTCAAAGCACTTGTCTTCCTAGACGAAGGTTCGTCGGTATTCTTTATTTTTTTCATAAGTTCTGTCTTCATTGCTTCCATTTTCATCTGCAGTTCATCTGGAGAAGATTTGAAATCTAGTTCTTCGTCAAATATGGCGAGGTCTGCCATACCATCCTGTACGGTTTTAGCTAACTCCATCATATCATCAGATCCTTTGGAGTTTTTTCTAGTTCCGGGGTTAGGAGTAGATCTTGAAAGGGTGGAGCTAGTTCTACTCCTTGCGTATCGAGAGCGAGGTTCAGTAGAAGAAGACGTGTCTTCATCATGAGATAATGCACTGCTGATACTGCGCGAGTTCTCGCACAACTTAGCCATTATATTTTGGTCCACCTGAAACACAAACAATTGTAAGTACAACTGTTTTCACCAAATCTCTTTGTTGTAAATGGTCTAACAACTACTTGAATGTGACATTGCTTTCCTTGGCTACATAAATAAATATCTAAGTAGCATAAAAGACAATGGATACACGTTTCGCACAGAATTGAACAATGGTGTCCTCAAAACAAAAGGATTCTCCGGGGAAATAATACGCGCAAACATTTATGTACGCATTCGTAAATTGGACGAGACAGATTTTGTCAACGTAATCTCAATACAAATACTAAAATCTGGGTCTAAACTAACAAGGATTACTCTATTTGCAGCTCAAATATCCACGCTAGTATAATTCTATGCATAGAACTATGAAAACTTATCTTTTATTTTATTTTTAGGCCTAAACTTTAACCCTTATGAAAATGGGATTAATAAATTATAGATAACACAATCTCAACTAAAAATACAAATTGTTTAAAATTCATAAAAAAACTTAACGAACACTTAATGTAATAGGTATTCACTTCAGAATAAAAATCTTATCAAAACTTAAACCTAAGGATGGGATCGACCCTTACTTGTTTAAAAATAGTCGGCCGTACTCACAAAAAAATATTAATCCTATTTTGGATATTTTCATAATTCAAATCAAAATCATAATCGACAGGTGTTTACAAAAGTGGCAATATTTCGTAGAAATTTTAATCTGTTAGCTTGAAATGGTTATAAACATTTATATTTTATATAAATAAAACAATCTGACAGTTTTTCTTGGGCGACTACAAGATCAAAAATAAGCCTTTAGGGTTAAGGGTCATTTCGTTACATACGAATACTAGAAATAGAATATGACGAGATAGAATATAAGAAGTGTGGGAGAGCAATCTCTCGGCACGAATGTGTCGGCTCGACCGGAGTGATACCACGGTTTCACAGAAAACCGGCGTGACACAACTACAGCGTTGTGTTTCACCGTGTGAGGTTACCGGAGGTCCAATCTTTCCCCTCTCCCAATCCCTAAATCTCCAAATCCCTAATCCCTAAAAGGTCGGCAACGCACTCGTAACTCCTCCGTTGCTGGTGTCCACAGGGCGGCGCTGATTGCTTACCACCAGGTAATCCGTCTGCTCGTTTGCCGATCTATTACTTATATAAAAAATGACTTAGATTTTATACAGAGCTTGTGCAAAAGTTCTGAAGCATTCCGAATAAAATAATAAACAGGTCCTTTATTTACCCCAAGTAGGTACTTACAATATGTCTGTCTTCCCTTCTATCGTCTCTTCCCCTGGCAGCGCTCGTGTCTGTCTCCGACCTAGTTTTCACAGACTGCTTCGACAGTGATAAGCTGGTCCCCGACGCTGTCTTCACCGGAGACTTGACCGATCTACTCGCCGCTGTACTTAGCATCTTCTCTTTCATCTGTCAACAAAATATTGTTTACACCATTTTAAGAAATTCTCTACCCCTCCCTTGCTATTAGTACCTAAACCTACAACAACTCAAATTATTATCAAGTACATACTATGACTACGTCATCGTGGACCATATAGAAAATGGTATCCCAAGAATGGCAAAATGAAATAGTGGGTTGGCCATCCAGAACTCCTCACCTGTCAGACATAATGTTACATAAGCCCAGAATCCAGGATATACCTAAATTCATATATTTTGGCAAAGGAAAATACTGGGGAACCATTCGTTAGTTAATTTCAAATGTATGTTACACTGAGCCAGAAAATAGCGATGCCAAAATATTAGCGACGCATAATTCTTATACTTTTTCAAATACCATAACAGTTACAATCAAAAGAAGATAGGTTCAAACAAAATGTTTCGCTAGATATTTATTAATATAAAAATGATAGAAAAAAAAAACCATAAAAGAACAGCGTCGATTTTCAAAAACAATAAATTCACAACAAACAACCGCCAACGAAAAACAGAATAAGAACATTGATAATGAACATTTTAATTAGTTACAATGAAATAAATATCTACATTATAAGACAGGCAATGATTCCAAGGGAAATTGTTACAAACAATACACGTTCACGTCGCCAAACCTATTCACTGCGCACACAATTGAATTAAATATATCTGTTGTGAACACCCCAATAATTCCTTTTATACCTACGTACATACGTATCTACGTATAATGAAAAAAACATTAAACAGGAAATACCAAATGGCCGTGTCTTTTTTTACTGTTTTATTTTAAAAGGTGAATAGCCTGAACCTATACACATCGAATGATTTGAAAAGCAGCCTCGTTGATTTATTAAGTTGTTGGTAATCTGTCCTCTCTAGACTACACGGAACATGAAAAGTAAGTGTCTGTTAGTAACAATAGGGTAGTTTTAACTAGTCAAGTTTTATACCTTTTTTCGAAAGGTCAAAAATAGATTATTTGTGAATAGGACCGCGTGAATGAGCAATCCTCCTCCTCACGCCCCAGCCGCCGCAGCAGGCGACACTCCGGGCATCAGGGATCGAGAGACGATGTCCGGCCACCGTAAGCGCGGGTCTGCGGACGGCGAGTAAGGGTAACTCGCCGCCCGACCAGAACCAGACGCGAGCGTACGTCAAGAACCAATAGACCACCACAGACAGGGCCCTATAGGGCTGAATGCAAAATGAAAGAAGGCACCGCGGCCTCAGTCTAAATCAGAAGAACGAACGGGGTTTTAGTCAGTAAGAGTCTGGCACTCCCTCCCAACCCTGGGGGAGAGAAGTGATTTGATGATTTTCGAATCACAAAAAAAAACTGTGTATTTACGTCAAACCGCAAAAAAGTACATTTTTCTTTTAAATTATTGAAAAAAAACTGCAAATAAAAAATTTAACAAAATTAAACGCACGAAAGTGTGATTATTTTTAATTATTGTTTTAAAAAGTTTTTATAACTGAGGAAAAAATGCTACCTATTAATAGCTATAAAAGATATTAGCTATTAAGATTTCAAAAGATTCCATCTTTTAAATGTAAATCTGAAATAAATAATTATGATATTTATTAAAAAACCTTAACAGCCAAGTATTTTTATTTTTACCTGACTAGTCAATTATAATATAGAATGGGGGAGAATTTTGCTAACCTCCTCGATTTGTGAGTTTGTAGTTTGAGCATCGCAATTAGATATATCACTAAAAATACAGAAGACGTCGTTACTCGAAACCAAGACGAAATAAATTTCATTTCATTACCATTCATAGTACTTACTTTTAGATTTTAGAAAATTTTCAAAAGTAGCTTTGCCTTTGAATGAAACGCCAAGGAGTGTAATATTTTTATATCACTACAATAAGCTCGGTGACCACAATCAACACCGTCAACGGGTCTTTTAAATTGCTCCAGAACTGTCTCAAATTAATTTTAGTGACAAAAACCTTACCTCAATTATAGTAGTAAGTTTGTCAGCATTATTGATGGCGAGGTCTAAATCGTGTCTGGTGTCCTTGTGCTTGTTGATCTCGTTCTGCAGTTGATGCCTGAAGTTCTTCGCTTCGAGAGCAATGCGACGCTGCAGCATCGTGATCGTCTCATTCTGTTGCTGTACTTTGGCAGTCAGATCGGTAACTTGAGCTTGGAGTTTCTCACGTTCAAGGAGGTTTCTATGTAAATTCGATAAACGTTAATAAAAATAGAATTTATTCACGCTGTTTTACTATCAGCATAGAAATACCTACTAAGCTTAGTGCTGTTGGATATGTAGGCTCGAGTCCACGCGTGGCACTAATTTAATACTAGCGACAAAGAATTGTACAAATTTAATTAACTAAACTAAGATAAATAACGTCTTTTTGGAGTAAAAAGATAAGGCAAACACAAAAAAAATGTATGTGCATGGAATAAGTACCTAAATATTTTCTTGTAAATCCACAACTTGCGAACATAATGTTGAACCGATATTTTTCCATATACTATATACTAAAGGACGTAAGTACAATTCCGCAAAAAAGTTGAGGAAAAATTGGCATAAAATTATCTTATCTGACAGGTAATGAAAACCCGTAATGATACAGTCAATATTTTCCTCCAATCATGCAAAGTAAATACGAATATAAAATCATCAATATTTGATTTCATGAACCTACAAATTATCATTCCCGAAACCCAGGTTTGAGATCTGTCATAAAAAGAAATCTGGAATAATTCTTGTCAACATACCTACATGGATGGCAATTGGGGTTTCTAATTACCGCAAATACGGTAGTTTCCAACTAGTCAAATTCAATACTTTTATCCAAATGTCAAAAACGATACTTTTCTATGAAATTTGTATGAAAAACTGAGTTATGACGCCATTGTATTTTTACATCAAATAGCTTACTTATTTTTTAATAATTAGCTTAAAAAATCTCAAAATCTTAGTGTATCAATCGATCAGTGAATAAAAGTATATATTTTGGAATATTTTATAGTATTGAAACGTCGAAATAATTTATTTTTGACCTAGGAAACTACCCAATTAAGTCTTAGACTTTTCGGACGCGGGGTAAGCGCAATAAGGTTCCGCGGCCTCGGCCTAGAGCAGGAGAAGGAATACTTGGGGGGTTTAGTCAGAATGAGTCTGATACTCCCTCTCTCTATACCCCTAAACGAGAGAAGTCATTTTATGACTCGATACCTGTCTTTACTAAGCTCCAGGAGGTGTTGGTGCTCGTCCCTCAGTTGTTGTAACTGCATGTCTCTCTCCTTCAACTTCATGGTCGCTTCCTTATACTGCTGCTTCAGCTGTTTGTACTTCGACTGCTGTATCCTCATCTCTTCGTTGTGAGAGTTCAGGACTTGCGGCAGTTCCGCATTCGAGTTTTCGTATCTGTTGGTTATAAATGGTGATTTGAAACTTTTAATAAGAAATTATAAGAACAGGCTTCCTCGTGATGTTTTCCTTCGCGGTATGTCAGTTGTGTCTAAATAATCATGGAAAGTAAGAACATATAACTCGGAACAAGCCACATTGGTACTTGCCAAGTATCCAGTCCATGGGAGACCCAGGGAGCATGTATGACAAGCGGACGCCCTTTCCGGGCCATCGCGACTTTAGTCCAGCAAATTGCTTACCATAAGGTAAGCCGTATGCTTGCCAACTTATCCCATGAATAAAAAAGGCTACTGAAATAAACCAGTTTAACATATTACGAACCAATTACCTTTGCAAGGCGATTTCTTGTTTCTTCTGAATAGCTCGTAGTACTCTGTTTTCGTTGCTTAGTTCCTAGAAAACAAAAATCTCCATTGGATTTATTAGTTTCTCGTTTTATTTTCTATATTTCCAAAACAAATAGGGTTCGATCTCGGGATGGGATTATGAATTTGTCAAATGGGTCGGCTCGACCTCAATGATACCACTGCCTCACAGAAAACTGTCGTGAAACAACCACAGCGATGTGTTTCGCCATGTAAGTGAGATTACCGGAGACCCAATCCTTCCCCTTCCGCAATCCATAAATCTCCAAATTCCTAATCCCCAAAAGGCCAGTAACGCACTTGAACTCCTCTGGTGTAATGGGTGACAAAAGGCGACGCCGATTTCTCACCATCAGTTAATCCGCCACATCGTTTACAGTCCTATCACATAAAAAATGGCATTATAATAATAATTTGCCAATTACAATACCTGCAAGTGATAATGCGCATCAGACAGTTGATTCTGCAGCTGCTTCACCCTGTGTGTTTTTGCAGACAGCACTCTCTGTGTCACGTATCTATCTCCCGACTTGCCAAGCGATGTATTGGATGCGTCCATCGTTAAAGGGTTCATACGTTTGCGCTTGTTCAACAGGTTCAAACGGGAGTTGCTGCTGTATACGCTCTCCAGGGATTCTTTTCTAGAATAAGCAACATCATGGTTAAATAAATTATTAGTTGGCGAAGAGATGAGTACACAGGTATGTGTTGTACATCAAATATGACAATAACATTAATACGGTTTATGCTAATGAAAGTATTCCACAAACCGAACGTGCTGGAATGAGAATTTTGGAATTCTAGTTAGGTAATATTCTTACAATCGAAGGACTATGCCTACACAGCAGCAGGTCACCAAAAATAGCATAATTAAACTATGCTATGAAATACATTCAATGTTGTTTTATCTAGGGATCCAAAGAACTGGATATTATTGCCTATATCCAAATTAGAAAAGCACTGCACTCGTACTAAACTGCTGTAGGTGTGCTTCCTGTCTATTCGCGGAGTCACTGGCCTCAAAACGTTAGTCAATAATCACCTTGCTCACTAAATATATATTTAGGGAGCAAGGTGCTGATGATGGTCCTAAGGGTGCTGGTTTGAAACCTGGTAAGTACCTACCAATGTGACTTTTTCCGAGATATGTGTATCTAATTTCATACGGTGAAGGAAAACATCGTGAATAAACCTGGACTTACAATTTTTAATTATAAGTTTGAAATCACTAATCCTGCTTGAGCAAGCGTAGGTAATGATTAATGCTTTTAAACCTTCTTCTAGTGAGAAAAGGCCTTTGCTCAACAGTGGGCACTTACAGGGTGATGATGTGATTCAACTTTGAATGCGCCATAACAGGCATTTCTTTTAACCACTTAGTGACCCGAATACAAGCTGATGAAGACTAGAGAGAGAGAGAGGTATCTAAGAATGCTACACTACCTACCTTTTATCCTGAAAAAATTAGGAAGCGTTTAAATATTTTTCGCCGTCGTCAAACTTATGCAGCGACACCAATACTACGGCTATGAGGGGATAAGCACGCAAAAGCTTTGCAAGGATAGTCGCTAGGCAAAATAGCTAGCATTGAAAATTACCTTGTAACTGTGCATAAAATACCTAGCTATAGGCACTATGAAGGATGCCTTTGATAACAAACAACAATTGCCGATGACGAGCGAAACCTTTATGTTCAAACTGTTTTCGTATTTCACATAAATATTTACGACCTAAGAACATTAATGTAGTAATGTTGCGAAAAGAACTTGCAATACTGGTGGATATGGGCGAACTAAACAAAAATACCTACTGTCCTTAGTGTCTACTTTTTTAATGTTCTTATCTATGTCCTTTGGGGATCTCCATAGTACGGAATTCATTCAGAAATTCCACTCCATTCCTCCCATAGGAACTATCTCAATCTAGAACTTTTTGAAAGAGAACAGCATTGCCATGTTGAATAATGGAAAATTACAATCACAAAAACACATAAATCAACTGCACTTCCTTAGTAAACAGCAAAAGCTTGTTACCTCGCATCGATAACACTGGAACTACAGAACAAAACAATTTTCTTGCAACTTGTAATAAGAAGAAAATAATTCCTTGCTTACCTTTGGTCTTTACGTTTATCTTCCGGGATCAGACTCAGCACTGACATCCTTTGCTTTCAAATATAAAACACCATTTTTTTACAAAACAAACGCTCGAAAAACGAGCAAATTATTTATTGTTAAAATAAATTCTGTCGACAGCGAAATGTTGTTACCCTGGTTGCTATGGCAACCGATAACATGTCAATCGATATGTTCGAAATTCGTATTGATACTGGCAGGTTGCGACATTGGGATTTCTATTATCTATTATTATAGATGTGTGTCCATGACTCGTATGTGTGTCAAATGAGGTGGAAATAGATCGAACTTAGTTATGGTTCTATTTTTAGCGCTTGACGACTAATAAAAAGTCTGCACCGCTACAGTAGGTAACAATTTAATAATGTAATGCTTAAGTAATTTCAACTAACGTCGTGTTGTGTATCTATTGAGGTTTTGGAGACACATAATTATTAAGTGTACCTATTTTGGAAACTACGCAGTAGTAGGTACAGTCAGCTCCAAAAGTCGATGAACAGAATCAACTTTCCAAAACAACTGTTCACAATAAAATGCCATAAGTTATAGTCACAACTAGGAAACAAAATAGCCTGTACATCAGAAATTTACAAAAGTCGTTATACACGACTAAGTCAAAAGTATCTGTGCACTATAGTATTCCTAAAGTCGCTGTACACCATCAATCCAAATTTCGCTGAACATCATTGTATCAAAAGTCAGTAAACAGCAGAAAAGTCAAAATTAGGTTAACAAAGTATATTTTTAATGTTGCACTGTGTTAATATAATTTTGACGCTTATGTTGTTCAGCTACTTTTGGGACAGTGTAACTTAATAATGTATATTAACACGTTAGTATCTTTTTCAATACTTACCTATTTAAAAATTAATCATATTTTTAACCGACTTTAAAAAAAGGTGGAGGTTCTCAATTCGTCGGGATTTTTTTTTTTTTTGATGTTAACCGATTACTTAAGGCTCCTGGACCGATTTGGATTTTTTTTTGTTCAGTATGATTTCCAGGTTGTCCCATGTTCACCAGGTCAAGATCTGACGATGGAAACCCAGAAAAATCCCTCACAGAAAACCGGCGTGAAATAACCACTGCGTTGTGTTTCGCCGTGTGAGTGAGGTTACCGGAGGCCCAATCCTTCCCCTTCCCCAATCCCTCCTCAATCCCTAAATCTCCAAATCCCTAATCTCTTAAAGGTCGGCAACGAACTCGTCACTCCTCCGTTGCGAGTGTCCATGGGCGGCGCTGATTGCTTACCATCAGGTAATCCGTCTGCTCGTTTGCCGACCTATTACATATAAAAAAAAATCGAGTGGAAATTTAAAATTTTATAGGGTTATTCAGGTATTTACGTCAACTTGTCGATGGTTGAACTCGACCTGATGATGATGAAACCGAAAGACAGTCGAGGGATTTCCTTGACTATTTGGAGTAATTGCCTTGTGTTTGGGCTTGAATAATTCTTCTTGGTGAGCACTTTGCACCAAGACTGGTAGTGACTGTCACTAGGGGTCTGATGATGACAACGAAGGACAGCTCAGGGAACGCCTGAACGGTTTCCAGTAACTACCTCGTGTTTGGAATTAATTCATTTATATCAATAAAAACTTCGCACCTGCATGAGTTACAATGAAGTTATGCAGTAAATCTGATGATGGAGCCGGAAGACCGTAGAGGGATCTCTTTGACTATTTGGAGTAATTATTTTGTGTTTGCGCTGGAATGATTCGTATTGGTGAACACTTTGCACCTATATAGATTATGTAACTATGTTGAAGGTCTACAGTATACATAGTGATGGAGACCATTGACAGTCGAGGGCATTCCTCAACAATTTACAGAACTGAACACTAAGGACTACTACTATTACCGTGATTTTCGGTCTCAAGTAGCCGTCGTCTTCTCATTCGAAACGCATTATCCTTGCTTGCTCTGCATATCACTTAAAATGGTGCAATAAAATAATTTTTAACAAAAAAAATAATTTTCTGTGTACAAAGTAATACATGTTTTCATTTAGGTAAATAGAAAATAATATTAATAACTATTTTTATAATCTCGAAGTCGGTGCCAATTAAGTGCCAGGTACCAAGTAAAACAATGATGATTGCTAGGTACCGATCAATACACGTTTCTAAAACTGTTGTTGTTTGGTATGTAGCATTTACTTGGCACCTACTGCGAGATTATAAAAAAAGTTATTATTATTATTTTCTATTTACCTAAATGAAAAAAAACAAACGACTTCAAAAAGTAAACACAAATATCAAAAATAAATTTTCTGTGTACAAAGTTGTCTACTTCGTAGATTGTTAGAGTGATGTTTATGTTATTTCATATTATATATTAGTATTATTACTAACAATATGAATTAAGTTCAAACACGAAGTAGTCACTATAATCCGTTCAGGAGTTCCTTGTCCTTCGTTCTCATCATCAGACCCTTAATGATAGTTACGACCAAGCCTGGTGCAAAGTGCCAATACGAATCATTAAAGCTCAAACACAAGGCAACTACTCCAAATAGTCAAGGAGATCCCTCGACTGTCTTCCAGCTCCAACATCAGGTCGACTTCGACCTTTGTCAAGTTATAGTGTTGTAAAAGACCTACTTAAACATCATACATAAGAACTACTCGCCCCTGCAATTATTGAAAGTTCCCCTCGATTTCTCCAGAATTCCATCATCAGATTCTGACCTCATGACAATGGGACCAAATGGCAGGTAAACCCTATCAAATAAAAAAAGAATTTTGCAAATCAGTCCAGTCGTATTCGAGTAATCGGTGTACATACATAAAAAAAATACGCATCGAATCGGTTAAAAATATAATTTTTGTGTAAATAAGTATTGAAATGGATACTTACGTGTTAAAATACATTATTAAGGTCTAGCGAGCACTGTCCCAAAAGTAGCTGAACAACATAAGCGTCAAAATTATATTAACACAGTGCAACATTAAAAATATACTTTGTTAACCTAATTTTGACTTTTCTGCTGTTTACTGACTTTTGATACAATGATGTTCAGCGACATTTGGATTGATGGTGTACAGCGACTTTAGGAATACTATAGTGCACAGATACTTTTGAATTAGTCGTGTTTAACGACTTTTGTAAATTTCTGATGTACAGGCTATTTTGTTTCCTAGTTGTGACTATAACTTATGGCATTTTATTGTGAACAGGTGTTTTGGAAAGTTGATTCTGTTCATCGACTTTTGGAGCTGACTGTACCTACCTACCTACCTGCAACCTAAATGTGAAAAACTGAATAAAGGCTTGTAAAACTTAAAATCCTTTAGATAAATAGCTAGACCTAAAGTTTATCATCCTCTCATAATGCCTTCGATAAAAATTCTCGGAGACGCCTAACCAACAGTTTCGGCTATCAATTATATCAATATAAAATGCGGCAGTCCATTTGCTACCCCTTCACGCCCTATCTACTCAACCAGCTAATTAATGTGGAAGATGCTTCGATATATGAGGCCCGGAGACCACTCCGGACGAGCTTCACAGAAATCGGATCTTTTAGAAATTTCGCATACATTCAGTGGATTATCGAGGAAAAATACTACATCGAGGGACTGCCTAAAATCTAAATAATCATACATAAAAATTCATCGCAAAATATGTATAACTGAAAAACGCCTGGACCAATTATTTTGTCAATATTTTTTATCGTGTTTGATATAGGTAGTCACACGACAAGGTGTTTATAAAAGACAATTTTAGGAACGTAGAAGAGAAGAACGGAAAATAGTTTTATTTTGTAAGGAGAAAATCATCAAATGAACTCTCCCACTCAGGGTGAGGCGAGAGGAAATGTCACTCTTACATACTAAAAGCCCAACCATTCCTCATTGCGTTTACCCCGCAACCCTGAACCCTGAAAATAATTGGATACCGACCCGCACGAAGAGGGGCAGGCTGCTATATCGTTATCAAATAAAACACATGTAATGTAACCAAAATAATATACTTAATCAACAAGTCACTTACTGTACATTGTATCAACTTTTTATATACATAAACACTTCACAATTCTCAACATTTATTTATTTTTATCTCGTGTCAGTTTGCTAAGTCCTTGACTGAGGTGTGACGTCACAAAAATGGCCTCGTACAATAGAATAAAATTAATAAAATAAAAAATATATTTGAAAATGTCAAATGAATGAATTGTATGAGCATATATTCTAATTAAAATATATTATATATTCGATATAAAATACAAGGAAAAAATATAGTTCAAATTACGAAATTCGTTCAACATAGTTTTAACTCTTCCTTGTGTTAATAAGCAAACCATTTAAAGGCCACTTTTGGACGAAATCTCCGGCTATCATCTTCGAAATTTGCGTTATATACGGACTTAGAACACACGGTCACTTTACGTACACAATAAATAACATCACAAGAACGTCACATGTCGACTCATTGTGTCTTAAGCCGCAGTAAAATGGTTACAAGATTATAATTTAAAACTTCCTTTAGGTCCAGCTTCTCATTTACTGAACAAAAAGGTTTCTCAATATTGTGCAAATATTGCTAACTCTTACAAAATCCAAGCTGTCTCTCAGACGGCACGCTTAAAATAAATTTGGTATAAACATAGCACTGAACCCAATCGTCATGAGTAAACAAAATCAATTTTATTTCAGACCCAAATCTTTTAGATCTAAATTTTGAAAATACGGAAACAAGCCAGCACTTGAAGTTCATAGGGCATATGACACGTTTTTATAGTCAGTGATTGAACTATTAGAACGATCGCCTCAACGAAGGGACCGTTTTTGTATCACAAGAAGGTCTTCGATAGAAATTGTCTAGGGATTTGACTAGGGTTTCACTTCGGTACTCCGGATACCGTGGAACTGGCGGCACTAGCGGCGGTGGTCGGCGCGGCGGCAGGGACGGGAGGGCGCGGGGAGGTCGCGGTGGGAGGGGACTCCTTCTGCTTCTCCCACAGCCGCGAGTAGAGGCTGTTGGGCCGCGACACTAGCTCCGCGTGAGTGCCTCGCTCCGATATATTCCCGTTTTCTAGGACAAGGATCTCGTCCGCGTCAGCGACTGTTGACAGTCGATGCGCTATACAGATTGAGGTCCGACCCACTGTCGCTGCTTTCAACGCTTGTAGGATAGCCTGTTATAACAAACATTAAAATTCAGTTTAATGATAAAGAAAGATTTTTGAGTATTTTTATCACAGTTAAATTTATGAAACAATATAATAGTTTTGCTGACTGCAACAATATTTTTTCCTATTAAAAATCGCATCAAAACCCCTACAGTAATTTTGAATAATAACACGAACAGATTACTGTGGTATAAGTATGATATATAAACGTACATGTTCAGTAAGTGAGTCCAAACTAGAAGTGGCCTCGTCGAAGATGATGATGGGCGAGTCTTTGAGTATGGCGCGCGCGATGGCGACTCTCTGCTTCTCTCCGCCGGACAGCTTCAGGCCGCGCTCACCTACCTGAGTGTCGTAACCCTGGAAATGGAGATAGTTTGATTATATTGGGTCTATATTATTATATAAGACTATACTACACAAAATTAAATGCCTTAGAAGACGGTAAGTATTAAGGCTAATAGTAAAGGAAATATTTAATGGTCATGTTCAAGTCGGTACAAACTTGAAGTGGAAGACGGAAAACAATAATCGTAAAGAACACAAGTTTTTTATCCCAGCTACACGAGGACCCTTTAACGCTTATATCAAGCCGAAGTACCAGGAACAAAAGGAGTAAGTTTTAGTCAAAGAGACTCTCTCTTGCTCAATGAGGACGATGACTTCTCCCCACAAGAAAAAAAAATATACAAGATAAACCAGAGAGCTGATGGAGTCATTTCGCTTTCTGGTCTGGAAATCAATAAATTGGGAAGCATAATATGTTTGGTAACAATATAATGCTAAAGTAATTGTAAATTATGAATAGTAGTGGTACCTTAGGCCAGGTCTGCACCGACTCGTGTAGCTCCGCCATCTTGCTGGCCTTGTAGACGTGTTCCTCCGACTTGGTCAGGTCACCGTAGTGCAGGTTGTGGAATATCGTGTCGTGGAACAGTACGCAGTCCTGGAAACCATTGGAGTTGCTCTATGAACGGCTTTAAGACTAAAACCCGGTTTCCGAAATGCCGATCAATGTTAAAATCAATTTAATCTCTTGTCAAGTCATCTGATTGGTTGACTGAATTATCAACAACCAATCAGATGACTTGACAAGAGATTCAACAGGAGATTAGTTAATTTTAGCGTTGACAAACCTTTCAGAATCCGCCTGGTTTCTGAAAGGCTTGTCAACGTAGGCATTCTAAAGAGGAATTATTAAATTAATCATAGTATAAGTTTTATAACTTACTTTAGATCTGCTTTTTAAAGATATAATTTGAAACCTTTTGTATTGTGTATATTAGATCCGAAATTAAATACAACATCTATGGATAAAATTAGGTTGTGGACAGTGTTTTATTCAAAGGATTTTTATACAGTTAAATCATTTATAACAAACGCACTCCAGGCAAATTCAAACGGTTGTTATTAAAACATTGCGACAATTTGGACGCGTTAAAAAGATATGTAACCTGATTGGATCACTTTACAAATACACTTGTTTTAAAGTCAAAACCAAATATTTGATTCAATTAGACCAATAAATCATTCTGATGATCAAACAATGTATTTAAAAAAGAAAAGTGTATCTGTCTGTCGATTGTTTTCGAGGTTTTAATCGTTAGATACCTGTGGAACAACTGCGATAGCTTTCCTTAGGCTAGCAAGGTCGAGGTCCCGAATATTCTGTCCGGCCACCTTAATGGTGCCCGACTGGGGCTCGAAGAAACGGAACAAGAGGCGCACCATCGTCGACTTACTGCAACAGACATGACATTTAGTATAACTTATATTACTATTTTATCTGTAGTGCAGAAATCTGATAATCTCATAGCAAAGGGCAAAAGACAAATACATAAAGGCGATATTTTCTGTTATTACCCAACCGTCTTATTACATCATTAACTTATTATATTTGAAAAAATATGTGTATGAGATGACAGATTATCTGATGGTAAGCAATCGGCGCCAACCATAGACAGCCGTAACACCAAGTCGGAGTCGGAAAAAGTCACATCGGTACTTGCCAGGTTTCGAACTCGCATTTAAAAAAAATATCATGAAATAATATAGGAAAGAGATCTCACCCGCTGCCGGACCCGCCGACGATGCCGATCTTCTTCCCAGCAGGAATAGTCAAAGTCAGGTTGTTGAAGATAGGCTTGCCGTTCACGTACTTGAAGCTGACGTCTTTGAACTCTATCGTCGCCGTCTTTGCGTCGCATATGAGAGGCGGAGCCTTATCTTTTTCCTGTGAACAGAAGTATATTATGCGACCAATTTGTTTCAAAATTTTTGTTCAGTGATGAGAAAAGCTTCTTAGCCGATATTGTTTTGAGCGTGACTATGTATGTTCTAATCACGTTCATTTTTTTTTTTTTATTTCTAATCGACAAACACTTTTTTGTTTTTTGTATACGCACCACAGGAAAAAAACCTAGTGTGGGGCAACGTTTTTTTAAGGAAAGAATGTATTCCCATCATCGTAATTTCGGTCATCGTACTTTAAATTTGCGGGTCAGTATCATGCTTCCGAGTAGATATCGAGTAGCTCCACCCCTGGTATTACTTCACTGCGTAGAAATGGACCCATAAAAAACCACTAAAAAGAAGTATTTTGCAGATGGTGTTTACCTTAATCCTAGACTGGACAGTCATGAGCGTGAACATGGTCTGCATGTCGATGAGTGCCTGGCGGACCTCGCGGTAGACGGAGCCGAGGAAGCCCAGCGGGATGGACAGCTGGAACAGGAGACCGTTCACCATCACCAGGTCGCCCACCGTCATGTTACCTGTCGCAGGCAATTGCATCCGTTGTACCAACACATCAAACAACTCATTTTGAGGTTTTAATAGACAATAGTAGCACATTTTCATGTGTAATTGGGTAACTATTTCAAAATTGGGCATAGGGCAGCTCAATAGACCTCGCATAAAACCAGCGTGATACAACGCTAACGTTGGGTTAAGCCGTATACGTGAGGTTAATGGAGGCCCAATCCTCAAATTTTCGGCGTGTCCATGGGCAGCGACGATTGCTTACCATCCATATTTCGCCATTAAAGATCAGTTTGCATAAAAACTCATCGACTAAGCAAGATTTCGATTTCAAAGGGCATTAATAACATCTAAATTTAATTTCAATGTTAAAAATTTTACTTACAATCGTCTTGCATAGTCTACTTATAGAAAGTGAACACAAAAACGACCGCCCTGAAATATTAACATTCATTTTCATTAATAAAGAAATTGAGACAGTAGAATTACCCTCAGCGATTTGGTTGGCGGCCATGATCATGATCATACTGAGTCCCGCGCTGAAGATGGCGTGCTGGCCAAAGTTGAGGAGTGCGAGACTCGACGCAGTCTTCAGGGACGCGTCCTCGTACTTCTTCAGGCTGACGTCGTATTTCTGTAGCTCGTACTTCTCGTTGTTGAAGTACTGGAGAGAATGTTCAGAGTGATTGTTTTAATTTGAAGTAGCTTAGTTTTAAATAGTAAAAGAACAACTAGTCTAGCATGGTCTGGCTAGGCTAGTAACATTTACACCTTAAATAAATGAGATTAAAATTAAAAATCACATGTGGTGGTATTTGTATCAATTACAGAATAACCATTTATTGTTTACATCATTCTATGTAGACATTATGTAAATTTTGAAGAGTTACATCTATCTACAATATAAAAATAAACGTGTCGCTAAACACAAATCTCGAGAAAAGTTTAAGCAATTTCATTTTTACTGTTTAAAGCAGAGTAGTAGACTTATGACAAAAAATCTAGATATAATCATTTTCGATGCCATGATGATTCGCTGAGAAAACAAACGATAGACACCGAGATAGTTTGAAATACCCGTGGGAAGTAGACGCCGACTGCTATTACGGAATTTAAAATTAAAAAAATTCGTAACATTCCTTGTCTCGGCCAGGGTAAGGCGAGAGGGAGTATGAAACTCTTTCTGACTAAAAACCATCCCAGTGCTTCTCCTGCTCTAGAAGAGGACCACAGTAAGGTACTATCAATTGCTCTGAATCTGTGAATGTACCGAGTGTCAACAAGCATAATGTTATACTCTGTGGACCATAGACAAAAGTTTTTTTTTGTTATTAATTTATTTTAGGTAATTTTATTTTTATCTGGATCATTTAGTTTACATTTTTAGTATAATTTTTTTTCTTCTTTTTTGTATATTAGTTTTCTGTGTGTGCGCTTGCGCGGGAATAAATGGTTTTCTTTCTTTCTTTCTTACACTTGATATAGTTACCTTAACAGTTTCATAGTTGATGAGTGAGTCTATGGCCTTGTTCCCCGCATCGTTCTCCGCCTTGTTCATATAAACGCGGAACTTGGTCCGCCATTGCGTGATCGCCAACGTGAACGCGGCGTACACTCCCACGCAAGCCCACGCCAGACCTGCAGACATTAGTTGGAGTTAATGATAGAATTATAACATTTAGAATACTTATCTTTCACTGGTGTAAAATAGATATATGTATATTAGCACCAGTCATTGACCAACTCAAATCCATAGACTGCTATTATATTTTACTAATGCGGCTGTTAACGAACACATTGTTTTATGTATAATATGTGCTTTTTCAAATATAATATTCAATTTGCAAATATCAATGACATCAGATAACATCTGATTCTCTTTGCATTTTTTTTTCTATGTCTATTATATCGGCAATCGAGCAGACGGATTACCTGATGGTAAGTAATTAGCGCCGCCCATGGACACCCGCAACGGAGGAGTTACGAGTGCGTTGCCGACCTTTTAGGGATTAGGGATTTGGAGATTTAGAGATTGAGGAGGGATTGGGGAAAGGGAAGCATTGGGCCTCCTGTAACCTCACTAACACGGCGAAACACAACGCTGTGGTTGTTTCACGCCGGTTTTCTGTGAGGCCGTGATATTACTCCGGTCGAGCCGACCCATTCGTGCCGAAGCATGGCTCTCCCACACTTAAATAAGTTATTCATATATTTCTGGGAATAAGTACGCTATTATGATCATCATCAGCATATAAGTGCCCAGTACTGAGCAAAGGCCTCTTTTAATATTAGTATAGATTACCATTATTAAGAATAGATCAGAGGAGTGATCTTATATCTTACCAGTAAAAGCCAGTCCTCCCTTAAGCCCGAGTATGGTGGAAACGAGGGTCAGCTCGAATATAGTCGGCACTATGTTGAACACCATCGCTGATAGCACGAAGTTAATGGCACGGGAGCCACGGTCTATAGTCTGTGAAGAATTAAGAATAAATTATAATGAACATACATTTTGACAAAATATTAATACCTCACAACAGAGATATTATTATATTGCATTATTAATTACAATAGAAATAATTCATAATTTAAAAATGCATACTCTCACAAGTTTAGAGATTCATTGTATGACAAGATTTCAAGCACAAAAAGTATTAGTTTTGGTAGGAGAATAGTTCTCTCCCAATTACAAAATTGCTTCGACACAAATTCCCATTCGGACATTATCATTCACCTGTATGAAAATAGTAATGACTGGGCAATTGATCGCTGAGCGACGTGATGCGCGTTTGATTCCCGCATTTAACTCGTTTTTTGCAAAACATACATTGTTGTTCTGGGTCTGAGTGTGATGATTTTGTGAAATTTAATGTTTGTTAAAACAATGAAAAGTGGACTCACTTTTGACAGAGCTCCAGTCTGCCTGCCGAGATGGAAACTGAGATCGAGATTATGCAGATGTATGAAGACGTTGCAGGCCAGCTTCCTGATGGAGTGCTGAGCCACCTTCGCAAACACTGCGTTCCTCAGCTCGTTGAAACCCGCCGCCGTCGCACGGGCTATACCATCTGAAAAAATGATAAGGTTTGTGAATCTACTTAAAAATAACTGATCTGTCGGTCTGTCTCTGACGAAGACCGCAATGATAGTGGACGTAATTACTATTGTATTATAATACCCTACTGCCAAAATAAAGGCGTTTTAACATAGACGATGACAAAACAACGAATGGTGCATCTGATGGCATTTGATCAACATTAAAGAAACCATTAACGCGCTGCCAGCCTCTTAAAAATAGGAGTAGTTATGCTTTATTTTTAACCCCCGACGCAAAAAGAAGGGTGTTATTACATATTATATTCGTTTTGTGTGTGGACACTAGGATTTGCTTCTGTGCCGTGCGTTTACAAACATAGAATTTCACAGACACATCACATCCAGACCCGAAACAACAATTTGTGGATCACACAAAGTTTTGTTCCGTGTGAGAGACGAACCCGCGACACGTTGCGCAGCAGCATTACATACTATAGTCAAAAATCATAATAAACTCAATTATCAAAGGCACTTACATCCAACTAGCAAGGCAAATGCTGTAGTGCCCACAGCTTGTGGTACGGTGGCAACCCCTAGCAGGGCCTCCCCGGCCGGCGTGACAGCGGCTTCGTTGACTTCATCGATGGCGTACTTGAAGAGGAAGGGAACCGACACGTTCACCACCTTGGCTCCGAACAACAGGGACAGGGAGAGCATCACGCGGTTTCTGATTGCTTCATTGTCCTGTAATATGATTGAAAGATTGATCAGACAATTGGTTTAGAAAAGACTAACGTATATGGATGTATGATACTAAATGTTTTATGTATTTATGTAGTAAAAAAGTTACAACTTTGAATTTGATTTTCTATTTATGTTTTCAATGTTTAAAGTAAGTTCATGATATTCACAATAAATGTAATTAATGAATAATGCCTCTAAGTGTCCTCCATTACTTCTATATTGTTTAGTCTATTAATGAAAAACTGACTCAAGACTCTATGTTAAGTCAACCTCAAGCTAAAACACCATTCAATAACAATATGACACAGATTTTGCTAAGCTAATAAAAACTATGTGACAATTCATCCTGAGCGTGATAAACATACACTATACTAAGGATCAAACCACAATTTCAAAAAAGAAATCATTTCCATTTCCATAAAATAATAATGACAATGAATTTTGCATTACTAATTAATATTCAAGGCTTGTAAACTTAGTACTTATGTAAACAGCTGCTCCATATAATTCTTTCTGAGTAATAAATAATTTAAATATCTTACCTTAGGCCATACATATTCCATCATCCCGCGGATCATATCCATTCCGGAGACCGGCTTCGCATCCCCCAGGTTTATATCTTCACGAGACAAAACAGATGCACCTGGGTGAAAGCAGTCTCTTTTTTGGATACCTAGGAAGGGGAGAATACAATGAGGAAGTTTTAGGATATATCTTGGGTTATATGTGAAAGGATAGGTGACAAGCGGGCAGGACACATGCGGGACAATAAGGACGAAGGGGAAAAACAAAGAGCTGCGTTCCAACCAAGTATTAGTAACAAACAATACACAAAAATAACAATAGCAAAAGTTCTGACAAGCTAAAAATAGTGAGCAAGTTCTATTAACTACGAAGTACGAAGTACGAATGGCAAACAGGAGTGAATGCACATTTTAATCTGAAAGCATAATGTACAGGTATTACGTGAATTAACGAATGAACATTCACAGTGAGAACACATTATGAAGAAGTTAGATATCAAATGCATTGCTAAACAATTCTATTTACATACAAAGCTAATCATAATTACTGTTTACAAACTAACATTGTCTTGATAATTATTCCTAATTAAATGAATGATATTAAAATAAACATGAATAGACATTTTTATTTGTAATTGGTATATTAAAGTCCAGTCACATATTTAGACAAAAATAATAAGTGAGTTATCTTACATGACAAAGCATTACACAATATACAACCAAACTTTTTGGTGTAAGTAAAATATGATAATGCTAAAATTAAGATAATATTTGTGCAGTATTATTTTGTTTTAATATCTGATGATGCTACCGTGAACTTTTACAAGGGAAGGAAGTCTAGCATACAACATATTCACATCAAAATAAAACCTTGATCTTCAGTTATTTATCAGCACACAGATCTTAGATTCAATATCTAATCAGGTTACCATAAAATAGGACTCAGATCAACAAATATTACTTATCAATTAAGATGAAAGTGAGATAAATATTGTAATAGTCATCAAATTCATATTATTATTCATGCTGTTTTGTTTTAAAGTGTTGTCTAGTTGGATTCTTCTATTAAGAATTTATTCCAGTAAGTAGTTGTACTGTGTACTGTTATGTGAGCTAATATAAGTTTGATTTTGGTGCTTATCACTCAAGTATGCTCACAATGTAGTCTAATGATTAAATTAACACTCCATACAAGGTCATTGCCAAAAACATTATGTAACTTTACTTCCCGAAACTTCTGTTTTTGAAAACTTATTCTTTTCGAATTCCTTAAATATATTTTTAATATAATTATGTTTAAAGTATTTATTTATGCTTACCAACAGGTATTTTTCCGGATTTAGGTTTGTTTGCCAACACTGCTGCCAACACATTTTTTGCCGTATCTGACCCACCAGAAGGATTTGGGCTTGACGAAGAGTAATGCTAGAACAGTTAATTAATACAATGAATACCATTTCTTCACACAAATCCCTTTAAAACATTAAGAAATACAACAAAATAAATATGAGTACGATCCACACAAAACATTACCCTGTAATGGCTTGCAGCTGCACATTGTTGACATGTTATATTTAATGGTGGCTTGTTTACTATATTTAATGTCTTACTGTGTAAAGATTTGGCGAATTTAATGTGATGTCGAATTAATTTGCTCAAATTCTTGTTTGACAGCATCGCGGCCGCCATGGTGGCAAACTGACAACTGCTTTGACAGTTCGCTAATTGTCAAAGAGTCTATAACGTCAAATTCGGATTTGACAACGAAATAATGTTGCCGTTGCCAACGAAATAAAATAAACGCTTCACATGATATTTTTTATTGTTAGCAAACTTTTTCGGAATAAATAGGCCACCTTGCTTCGTTGGTCTACTAAACACTACAGATAAATGTATATTGGAGCCGCACACTTAACTTCTTATTTCAAAGAATTATTTTCTATGTTTGTGTTTATATTTTCTTAATACTTGCCTGATTTTACAATGATAAATATCTTGTTTTTACTTTTACTGTATGTAATTTTGTTTCTAGCCATCGTATTTTGTTTTTCTTACCGTTTTATCTATGTATGATTGAAATATTACGTTATGCCTTTAATAAAACTCACCAATTTGCATAATTTATATGTTTGAAACTTGTAAAAACATGTTAGATTTAAAACGAAAGTAACCTGTCTTTGGCTAAGGTTACGGATCGTGCGGCAATGATATACCTCGGCCTCAAGAAAATGAACGGGATTATTTAAATTAAGTTGGTAAGAGTCTGACAATCCTTTTTGCCCCAAGCATGGCAAGAGAAATCATTTGATGACTTTCGCTCTCAAAAGAAAATGAAGCTAATACATAGGAAATAGGTATTTTTTTAAATAACTTAAATGATACACTCAACAATCATTATGCTGATAGTTCTGTCTGTCCGACTTCATAGCTTAAGCCACCAACACCCAACCTCTGAAGGTTTAGTCATCCAACAGTTATCCAGATTCGCCTGTTCTCATTTGTACTACTTGACTTTTTAGTATACTGTAGTTTTTTTATGAGAATTGTATATTACGATATCTCACTTTTAAAACACTACATTAAAAATATATTTTCCTATATTAACGACTTGACACCTTATCTAGAAAACTCAAAAGACACAAAGTCAAAAGTCAAAGTCAAAATCATTTATTTCAATTAGACCCATACAGACACTTTTGAACGTCAAATCGAGAAAGTAACAACTAGAGAAAGCAAAGCAAAAAATAAGTACTTCACATCAAAACCGCTCTTTTAGCTGAAGAGGATTTATCAGGCCAACAAGTATTTTGGAGCTTTACAGAGATACCTGAAATAACATTCGCTTTGCATCTTCGTGAAGTTCAGGCAAGGTTTATTTCTCAATACCCATCTATTCCCTTAATCGTTTAGTTGGCTCCTGTATAAAAACAAGGGAGGGTCAAATACAAATATTTCGTCTAACTTTATCTCTCATTGTCATAATATTTACTAAGTAAGCTTCTAACAATAAAAATATACGATCCGGATCGGAAAAATGGCAAGTGCGATTCAGGTTGCAGTAAAATGGTTCTGAACACTTTATTGCTATCTTTGTATGATCATAATTTGGATACCTATACTTAATTTTTCTTCTTCGGTATGAAATAATCGGCTCTACCCGTGATCACCGGTTACCGCCATGTTAAAGGTTGTTAGTGATTTAAGTTTATTTTAGTTTTACAAGACGAAACCTAATGCAAGGATATTTTCACACCAATTTTCTGTTAGTCCCGATATCAATCTAGCAATCCGATCGCTCACCAAGGCGAGCTAGAAGTCAAACTACAGAAAGAAAAAGGGTCAAACGCGAACCTATAATCACAAAAAATATCGAAATAACAATCACAAAAATTAGTAACCTAGGACATCTCGATGATCAGTTGCGCTAACAACAACTGATCATCTGTACAATAAGGCTTACAACGTTTTCTGTGTACAAAAAGCAAGCAGACTTTTTATCGTACATACAGAACCCCAAAACACTAATGGCCCGTTACGTTGTCGACTCGATAAAATATCTATATGCAATAGTCTTCCGCATCCGCGTAATACCCTTTGATCGTAAGCGTTATATTTAGATGACGTCCTAGATTTTTGAGACATGTTATATTAGTCAGACTATCGTCAGGTTAGTGTGCGCGCCTAAGTGCGGCGTCTAAAGACAACGATAATCTATTTCAATGAAATATTGCCAGAAAAAAAAATTAACTGTAACGAATTTTACGTCCTGGTGAAATAAAATTAAACTGCGGGCGGAGTCAGTGTTGCCATTGAGGACTAGATTCATGTGTTTAATTAACTTATAAAGTCAATTATATGTAAAAGCTTTTTGTAATTTATAATATGTATACCTGCCAGATCACAGATATATACCTTACGTCACGTCAAACTAATTGTAATTAAATGACAAGTGAGGTATAGTATCTTACTAATACAGACAGCCAGAGAGTAACGCAATGTTTAGAAAGAGTAAGATTTAGAACGACAATTGAATTATACAAAGTTAAAAAAATCATTTGCTCTTTAAAGGTAATGGACCTAGGAATTAACTTAGACTGGGTAGCTACTCTCTTTTCTATTCTATTCTAATCCATGTTAGAGAAGTTATTCTGGTGGACGATTGTACTTGTTCTTGGCCTTACACGCACCTATTTCCTATAAAGAGATAAGTCAAAAGTCAACAGATAGTTGGAAGAGACAACATAAATAAGCATTTCTCGATCGACCTACAAGCTATAAAGACGCCAGTAAAGGCTTTTGGTAATTAGGCTGTCAATACAGATCTCACACCATCAACAAACAAGAAGGAAGCATATAAAGCACCATATTTTGACAACAAAGCACAATACAGGTGGATGTTGTTCTATTTACAACGCTCCTACCTCGATATAGCGAATCGGGTCAGCCGTTAACGATGTACCTACTGTGTTATAGTGGTAACGCTATTTTCGTGTTTAATGACTTCAAATTTTTGTTATGGCAGATTATAAGCGTAATTAGGTATGGGATGGCTGTCTTAGTGGGCAGATCTGCGATTATTAAGTAGAAATTATTTTAATGTCGTCGTAGTATCTTGTCATAAAAAGGCAATTGTATATCTTACCTATAAGATCACACCTTTGTGCTTACCTACTTTTATGAAATCAGACGGGAAACTCTAGGTAGGTGCAAATTTTAATGTAACACTAACACGTGACCTGCTTAGCTTTAAAGTATTAGGTACATCGAATTAACACAAATAATTATACCCATCGCTAAGACCAGCTCATCTTTCTTTCGATGCCAAACAAATTCCCACAATAAACACCAAAAACCAAGAGAACGAATCTTGCCCTTAAAATATTTGTGAGTAAGGTATGTGGCCCAGATATCGGGCGGTACAATTTCACTGCGCCCTCTCTTTTAATCAAAATAATTAACTACACATATGATTTATTGCCTTAGTGCGGGGAGGGAGCATGTCTACCCGCCACTTTTTACCTTGCCGATAATGTACTCGTGGGTACAAAAGTGTTCGCAAAATATATTTTGCATTAATACCAAAGACGACCGAGCGCAGTTTTAAATACCTCGTCTTAACTTTAACAGAGGACCCAAAAAAGAACCCTGGGGTACTCCTGTAAAATTGCTATTTCATACTAGCTGCTTTAAGTTGTCACATTCGATCTAGCATAGGTTTTGTGCCTTTTAGGAATGAAAAGTAAATAGTAAGTTACTTCTACAAGTTCTTGTACTATTTACTAGACTAAATTGGAAATTATTGAGTCCGTTTATCTGTCTCATTTCTGTCTTGTTTAATAGTAGTATTCTGTTCTAGAGTAGAGTGTTAGGAACAAAGTGACGTGTTTTTCTCACTTAAAAAGAGCTCACCTTCTTTAAGCCTCGCAAATCACATGTCTTCGCCTCTGTACATGGTGTTTGGGAGAGAAAAAAGGCTTCGAATGCCACCAACATCGCAGTACTGTTACGGTGATAAGTCTGTGTAATTTTTTTATCTGCTTCGATATAATTTAGCTTTGCCGTTATTCATGAAGGCAACTGTCTCAGGCCTTTCATTTGGACCGGCAGATAGAGGAATGGGATTTATTTGGGAGTTTCGTATTGTGAGGTTGAATGACGCCCCATTAGTGATATTATGATAATAATTAGTAACAACACTCATTTTATAAAACTAAAAGTGATTCTAAGATTTTTACATGCTCAAGACTAGAAGTGGTTTCAAAGTTTACCTTAACCTTTTCTTTAGGTTTTGTTTATTAGATGCACATTTTACCTACTTATACTCATAAGGAATGACATTAGCCTATTTAAAATTCCTAATGAATAAGATCAAACTTTACCTAAGACTAAAGACTAACAACAATCCGATAAAACAAATCATTAAAAATTAAATTCTGTTCCAACATCGTCAAAATCATCACACCATGTCTTCCAAGTCGGTTAATAAATAAATAAACATACAAGTGATTACCGACGACCGCCGGGGAGTTGAAAAAAGTCGAAAAAAATACAAAAAAAAGTCCGCGAAAGCCGTACAACTCAATTTTGGAGGCACAACGCGATGGAAATAAAGTTTAAAAAAGTCGTACGCGTCTTTATTAGTGTGCTGGGGAACGGTACCGCGAATTTTATTTTATTTCAATGTCTTAATAGTTTCACTTGAAGATCTAAATAAATATCTCGAACTAGAACTAGAGAAAACTAAAATAGGGAGTGTATTAAATTTGATAGATGATTGGTTTTTTGGCTTCATCTATACTTATAATAAATCTGTAGAGAGGTAAATCCTGCACATTAAATATATATTCGAAATAACTACCAGGGGGCGATAAGTAACCGATACTGATCCCAAAAATGCAATAAGTAAAATTTTTGTCTGTCTGTCTGTATGTTCCTTATAGAATCTAAATCTACTCGACGGGTTTTAATAAAACTTGGTACAATTATTTTTATACTCCTGGGCAGGTTATAGGACACTTTTCATCACGCTATAAATAATAGGAGCAGAACAGTGAAGGGAAATGTTGAGAAAACGGGATAAGTTACACCCTTTTTTAAGTTTCCGTCTCGTGTGTAGAAATTATGAATGGCGGAAATATGTCTATCTTTTATTGTTAATTTACGACGAGCGGATAGCGGAGACTTAGTATAAGTAACAGGATATTTACCCATAGGAGATGTACCTACCCATAAAA